CGGCCCTTGCCATCCGCCCGGTGCCCGCTCCGCTCCGCGCTGCCCGGCAGGTAGGCAGGCGGGCAGGCGGCCCAGGGCTGCGCTGGGGCTCCGCGGGGCTGCCTCCAGCCCGGGGCATCCGACGGGAACGGGACGGGAACGGGACGGGAACGGGACGGGAACGGGACGGGAAATGGGGATTTTTTCTCGCCGCCACAGCGGCGGGACGAGGGGGCGCTTCCCGGACGCCGGAGCGGGGGCAATGTCGAACAGCTGGTTTGGGTGAAAGGCTTGCACGGTGAGGCGTAAGAAAACGAAAGTGACAGTGAGCCTCGGGGCTGGCCTTTGGGTGTTTGTAGGGGCGGTCTGCCTTGAGCCTAGAGCTCGGGAAGAGCGTCGCAGAGCCGCCGGGTGTTTGTCTGTCCGGCACGGAGGGGGCCGACAGCGATCGTGTGCAGCTGCTGTAGGAAGACTGTGCAAGGAAGCACAAATTGTGGTGTAGACTCCAACACGCGGTTGGGTCCGGAGGAGATAAAAACAAGCGGGGAGTGCGGCTGCAAGCAGGCCCAGAGCAGCGGGGCTGCGAGGCGGCCGAGCGGGAAGCTCGCACGGCATCCAGCGCTCAGCCTCGGGTGCGGTTTTGTGCCGGACCCGGCCCTTGCGCCTTTCAGGCCGCTCTGGAGCATCTCCCCGAAATGCATCGCTGCTCAGTGTCCGCCCTGCGGCTTTGGCTGTTGTGCGCCGCGCCGGTCGGTGTGTCACCTGCAGCCCCCGGAGCCCCGCTGGTCCCGGCTGCGGGGGCTGGCAGCTCCGAGCTCCCGGCAGTGCGGGCGGGGGACGGCGGTGCACTCCCACCGCTGAAAGTCAGCGTCCGCAAAGCCTTCGGCAGGGTTGACACCTCTCAAAGAACTGTGGCGTGAAGACGGGCGGGTTACTGAGAGGTGTCTGAGTATCCCTGGGCAGATACTTTCGATGCATTGTAGAGGAACGAAGGGAGTGCTGCGGGAGGGAGAGCCCTGGCGTTTGCTGGGTCTGTGAAGCTGAGGGACTTTCGCCATCCTACCAGCACACATACTTCCAATTTCAGATCTGCAGGAAAGAAATTTTTAAAAATAATGTCTATAAAGTTAGTATGATAAGGAAGGTTGGAGTACGCAATTCACACGGAAAAGAATCCGCTGCTTTTTCAATGTGACTTATTTTTAAGAATAAGGTGCACTGACGACGATGTTCTTGCTGTTTCTGTAAGCAGCTGCATGCAGTTTAATCCAGTCTTTACTGTGTGAGTCACACGAGGTTAGACAAGTTGTTTGAAGAATGTTTCCCAGGGTTCTTATCAGTTGTTTTCTTTTTCAGCTATAACCATGGAGAACCTGTCTAATGCCAACAGCAGATTTGCACTTGATCTGCTCAGAAGGTTTAGTGAGGCCAACCCAACAGGAAATGTCTTCTTTTCTCCTGTCAGTATCTCTGCTGCTCTGGCCATGGTCCTTCTGGGGGCCAGAGGTAATACAGAAGCCCAGGTGTTGAAGGTTAGTAAAAAAATACGGTCATTAATTTAATATTTTATTTACATTAAAAGGTTTTAGAGGAGGGAAGATTAAATGAGGGTGTTTTTATCTGTTCAGGACAAGATTTCCTGAGTCTTCCTTGGACTCTGCAGCTAGTTACCCACTGCCTACCCTGCTCCAGGGCCCTCTGCTTATATTTTCTATGACCCTTTTTGCTCATTTAATTTCACTAGTTAATTCTTGAGAGAGGAAACTAATTACATTAGTCAGTCTCCTTTTAAATTGATCATAACTTTCAGAAGCAAGGCTTTATGAGTTTTCATGAGACATTTTGACAGACTACTACTTTATAACACAAGATCACTAATGGTATGTTCATTTTTAATAATCCTGTGTGTTCTTGTAAAAAACACGGTAGCATTCTATAGTTTTATATCTAAGGTGTAGCAGCTATGATGATACATGGTGATGCTACCTGAGTACCAATCTCTCACTAGCAGGCTCTCGGATACCTGGAAGGAGCGAAGCCTGCATGGTTATTATCCTTTGTGATAGATTGGCATTTGAGGAAATAAAGAGAAACACCTAAGGAAGTTAAAACTGCTGGAGGCTGGTGGGAGTTTTTCTCCTAGCCAACAGCTGGCCATTTCTGAGACTTGACAGCAGTTTTGACCATTGAAAAGTGAGATCGACCTGTGAACACCACCTTAAGACCTAAGCCCGGGAATTCCTTTGACTCTCTTTGTTTCTGTCTGGGTAAAGTAAGAGAGCTGCGGCTGGTCCCTCTCCCCCCACGGCCTTGTCTGGCCTGGACCCCGGCAGCTCCCAGGCAGGAGGGATGAGGACTGTGGGGTGGCAGGAGCCCCTTCCCAGAGGGGCTGAGCTCTCAGAAGTCTCACTGAGCCTCGTACAGCCAGGCCAGGCCAGGCCAGTCCCCGGCTCGGCTGTGGTTTCTGCCGCTGCTGAGTTTCACCAGAGACTGCCGAGTAAGGGGAGGGAAAGCCACTGACCTGCGGCGGGCTGAGACAGTGACCACACTCTCCAGAGCAGCCATGGAAAATCTTCCATCGCAGACAGCTCCAGCTGCTGCACCAGCAGAGATCACAGAACCATCTACAAAGCCTGGGCGAGATTTTAACTCTTTCACTACCCAGATGAGACTTGCAGATTAATCCTTTTTTTCCAGATAGAGAGGGAGAGAGGGAGTGATCAACAAGTAAAGAGACAACATAAACTATCAAAGACAATGAAGAAGGGAATTAAGCTTCGGATGTGGGAGAGAAATAAGGAGATGCTTTAATAAGCTGAAATATTCTTTTGCTAAAGCTATGGAGATGGACAATAATGTTCTGAAAAAACTCCTTTAATTCATGACAGAGTATATTGGGGGAATGGGGTATTTCAAAGTGTGGGTTTAAGCAAATGGTGAAGTAGTTGTGATCTTACGAAATGCAGGAACAGAAAAAGAGAAGTGATAGTTGTTGAAGATTTATGGCCCTTAAGAGGCAAAGAGAAAACTTCTGTTTCCAGACATGTTCACAGAGATAGAGAAAGAGAACTTCTGCCTTTCAATAACTTGTCCTTAAAATTACACCACTTAACCCATGACCCAGAGTTTTCTGGGCAGCTGGAATCAGAAAAATAGAAAGCCATGAGAAAAATAGTTTTCTTGTGAAGAACTCCATAAATTGGCAGAAGAGAACTTCTTTTTCTCTACAAAGAATGATGAAAAGACTATAGCAAACTTGAGACTATTTTAACCACCAAGTTTTTCTGCCCCTATGTTGTCATGTAAACAAGGGAATGGTTGTGTGGTGGAGAAAAAGGGTTTCTGGAGGTTTTATTCTGGTTTCTTATTCTTGTAGTTTTGTTAATAAACTTTCTTTATTCCTTTTAAGTTTTAAGCCTGTTTTGCTCTTCTTCTAATCCATATTTCACAGCAAGAAATGAGTAAGTTTTCTAGTGATTTTTTTAGTTACTGCTTTAAAACCATGACATTCTTACTGTAGCTTTAGGGTGGGTAGGATTGTTTAAAAAAACCTCCTTATAAATTGCAAAAATAATGCACATAGGTGTGTGCCAGTTTCCCCTGAAACTTCTGTGATGGAAGGGGCTCAGTCACTGTTATCTTTGTGCTCTTGTTAGGCTAATGCCTGTAAAAAGGTGTATTAGTCTCCTGACTGCAGTCAATATCATGCATTTGCCTATGAATAATTTCACCTTTGTATTCTGGACTTTAGGAGGAACTGTTTTTTACTGTTGAGTGTTGCTG